TAGCCCTCTTATCAATATTCTCCGTAGGCTCTTACAGTATTCTCCGTAGGGCCGTACAGTATTCCCTGTAAGTCCGCACAGTCTTCTCCGTAGGACCTGGAAGACTGTATAGTCCTACGGAGATCACTGTAAGGTCCTACGGAGAATACTGTGCTGTCCTACGGAAAATACTGTAAGAGCCTACGGAGAATATTGATAAGGGGGCTACGGAGAATTACCACAAGCTGTTTACAGAATTTTCCGTAGCTTTTGGCCGCAGTGCGCGTCTTGTCGTAACAGGCTTCGCTATGTCTCGCGGCCTGTTCCGCCAATCCGCGCCTGGCGTACCTACCTTGGCCTGCGGCGCTAGCCTGCCTTCGGCAGGCATTGGCTTATCCATCGTCCGTTACTTCTTACTTCTTGCATGCTGCACTGTCAGAAAACTCCGTAAAACGGAGATCTCCGTTTTTCGAATTATGGATTTTCTCCGTAAAAATATGGAAGTTATGTATATAAATGAAACAGAAGCCTTACTTATCAAAAAGAACAGACTAATTCATGTTATCGATGGGTCGGGTGACCAACTGATTTGGCGTGCCAGAGTGCGCCTTCCCTAAAGCGTCCTCGCCTTTGGGTTTCCATCCATTTATCCGATCCAAATGGCATGTGGTCGAGTGGATCTTCAAACAGTTTTGGAGAATATCACTTTCGTCTAAAAGGGCACTGTTTGCATTAACATCGAAGGTAAAAGGAGGGAAGTAAACCGTTAAAATGCGTTTATGTATGCAAAAATGCGGTTCATCTCCGTAAAAATATGGAAAATCTTCGTAGAAATATGGAAAATTTACGCAGCCTCCATTCCCAAAATTAGAGTAACTTTCTCCGTAAATTTACGGACTTTTTTTCTGACAGTGTGGGGGGCTCTGCCCCCAGACCCCCCTCTATTCTAGATATAGTTGCTTCATCTACAGATATCACGATCGGGAAGGGCGGTGGGAAAGGAACGTATCCTGAACCATCGTGGCGGTAGCTCCAAGCGCTCCTTCCTGGGAAGGGGGGCAGTGAGTGTGTTGCCTGTGCTTTGCTTTGCTTTGCTCGGCTTTAGTAAATGTCTGCCCCCTAGCCAAGTCGCCAAATGTAGTTTGTGTTAGTGCATGCGCATTTGCCCGGCTTATGCTGGTCTCGCTTAAATTATGAGGGGTGGTGCTGGATGTGTAACGAGTGTTTATCTCCCAATGACAGGGGGCTGAAGGAGCTCAAGGGGTTATACGAAGAAGCAGGGGTAAACGGTTTGATGGATTTAATTCAACTCAACAATGGATTGCGGAGGAATCATCACTGGAGAAGAATGGAGCAGATTACATCGGAAGCTGGGTGCAAGGAAGATCACGGCTTGGAACCTGGAGAGGGGTGACCCAGCCTCAGGGCCGCCTCGATAAGAAGCTGGTCCTGGATGAAACAGGCGTAATCTTCCTCGGCCAGCCCCATGAGGAGTGCTGCCTGCTCCACCGCGACCTGGTCAAGAGGACTCCCTCCTGCTGCTGGTGGACTTGCTCGGGCGGATGGTCCATCGGTCTGGGAGCGGGACGGTGAGTCTGAGGGAAGAAATCTCCCGAAGTAAGGGGAATAGGGGGGAGGGGTGTGGTTGGGGGAGGGGGTGGGAAGGGGTGACAGTGGGTGTGAGCGTGAAGAGTGCGAGGAAGCTATAGTAATGATAGATTGGGCGGAAGGGGTTGATTGTGCTTGCTGAGACGATGAGGGGGAAGGTGAGATGGTTAGGTCAACTAATGGAGGGGAGGGAAAGGGGGAGGAATTGATTGCCTCGGCCTTCAGTGGTGACCCTAAATTTGGAGCTTTCCAGCTCCACAAACTACCGGAGGACTCGGCCTGCGCAGTGGGGCCACACCCACAGCAACAACCTGAAGATGTTGATGGAGCCTCCTGGCGGTCTTCGGTTGGTTGGTAGAGGGCTAGGCGCGGGGGGTCCCCAGTCAGGTCTAGGCCCTCCCCCTGCGGGCTCAGCTCGTCCAGTCGATACGCTGCCCAGGTCGCGAAGGCGATCAGTGGTGACATGCTCACTGTTAACAGGCAGGGAGTAGTGATGAGCCGCATGGTCGAGTTGCGGGGGTAATAACAACAACAAATGCAACAATAACAATAGTGGGGCAGGTGGGATGGGGCACCAGTAAAGTCTGAGGCCTACCGAGAAGGTGCCGGTTTAGGTGTAGCCAGCCTACAAGAGATTGCACCCAAGCTCCATCGGCGTCCAGCATGTCCAGTAATGGATGCAGGCCGGAGTCGTCCACACCTCCCAGGGCATGTCGCAGATGACCCTCTATCCACGGGCTTGTTGACCCTGGCTCCGCACGGTTGAGAGCTGGAGAAGAACGGGGTGAGTATAAACGGGACGGGGAGAGGGTCAAGATGGGGACCGACGACGCACTCACCTCCACCAGGGGCGGTGTGGCTCTGGAACCAGGCGGACAGCGCTGCAACGAGGTCTTCAAAGGTAAACATGGTGAATGATTTGAAGGCGCGGCGTTGAATGGGACGGAGCGCTCGGCCGGTCGGCGGCTCCTCCTCCCCCCCCCCCCCCCCCCTCCGGCTCTCGTCGACCCACCCCTCCCTCGCCCGACCTGGGTGTGGGTCGAGTGCAGCGCCCAGGCGGGGTGACCGACGGCGACCAGTGGAAACGTTCGAGAGGAGCGAGAATCGAAGCCATCGAACAGGTAGGGATATAAGGCTCGGGGCAGCGGAGGCCGGGCCAGATCGAGCGCTGACCAGCGAGGACGCTCTCTATCGTGTTCGATACTCGAACGATATTTGAGATCTCGCGCCACTAGCGCCCCCTTCCGGAAAACCATGTAAACTGTCAGTGTGAAAGATTTTAAGTCGACAATAAACCAGTTGTACACGAACCGTCTTATGGATCACTTCTCCTTCCAACTTGGACGACTCTCTCGAGAACTCACGGCTGTACCACCAACCCCGGACAGCATATTGGCGACGAGGATCCACCTTCGAGAAGAGTTTCATCTGTCATCGGAGTGTCCCACGTGTCGTTGAGAAGGTTAGATCACAGCATCCATCATGGCAGAGGCGCCGCCACTCATCATTGTCGCGCCTACTGTACCCGTCCCGGATGCATACGATCCTGCATCAGTGTCAATGGACGAATGGCTACAAGTATTTAGCGAGTTCTGCCGCTTGTCCAACATCCTAGCGGAACCGGCCGAACCCCCCGCTGGACAGCCAAATCCCGTCAACAACAGGCGGTCATGGTTTCTCAAATGCATCGGTCAACGTAACTATGAAATCTTACGTATGGCTAGTCTGCCCCTGTTGCCAAATGAGAGGTCGATCCCTTTCCATGTCCAACGACTAAAGGAGCGTTTTGAATCTCCTCAATTGGTCCCTGTCATGAGAATGGAGTTCAATGGTCGTACTCAGAAACCCAATGAGTCCATCCACACGGAAAAAAAAACGTCAGTTGTGCGAGCCGAAAATTAGCTGATACAGCCAACGTTTTGGCTGTCTGGTGGACAGCCAAACCCATTAGCTGGCACAGCTCACGCGTCAGCTGGGACAAGCACGACTTGAGCAACGATACGTCAATAAAATATTACTGCGACAACCAACAACGGTTTGTCTTCAATAACGAAAATGTCATTAACACCCGCAGCCGATGACCTTCGGTCACAGAAGCTCACGCATCCGAAAATCATACTGCTCGGCTGCGAAAGCTGTTCATCAGTTTCGACTGCCGATCGCGTTCGAAACTGCCGCTAAAAAGGGCTCGACTGCGCTGCCCTCTAAAAATTCGTAACGAGAGTCGATTGTTTCGATGGTAGAGAAGGCTGTGATAGAGAGCCTCTATTTGTGAGAGAGGTGCCAATGTCACGTGACCTCTCCCACCACGACTCTCCGCCGCGCTCTGATTGGTCGAAACCCACTTTTCTGGCGGCAGAGCTCAGTAACGCGGGAAAATGTAATGCTGTCAAGTTAAAAGCGAGGAGTCAGGTGGGTTATTAATTACTCAAATGGGCTGAGCGATGTATTTTAGTAAAGCAAAGACAAATTTAAGACTAATTAATACAGGAAAACCCTGAATAGAAGAGT